GGGCTCAGACAATCCACTCACCTCAGCCTCCCAAAGGCACAGGATTACAGGCTGAGCCACCGAGCCTGACTTATCAGGTTTTCTGAGTGCTAACGACTTTGGTTTAGACCACTGGTTCTCTGTGGGGGGGATGTGCCCCCAGCAGAGACAGTTTTGAACCTCACATCCGGGGGTGCAGGGCTTGCTCCTGGCATCTCATGGGCGCTGCTGAACACGTTGTAGGACTCTCCCTCTGGAGTAGAGGATCATTCCATCCAAAACGTCAGTAGTGCTAAAGCTGAGAAATCCTGCTCTGGGCCACGAGGGAAGCTGGACAAGGCCATTCGCCTTGTATGTGTGGGATGAAGGGAGCATGGCTGCAGAGATAACATATGCGTACAGAAATGCAGAAATAGGGGCCAGGCTTGGTGACTCAGCCTGTCATCCCAGCACTTTGGGAGGCCAAGGCAAGTGGATTGCCTGAGCCTGCAGGTCTGAGACCAGCCCGGGCAACCTGGTGAGACCTCGTCTCTACAATAAAATAAAAAATAGCCGGGCATGGTAGCACACATCTGTAGTTCCGGCTACTTGGAAGGCTGAGGCGGAAGGATCGCTGGAGCCCAGAAGGTCGACTCTGGGGTGGCCGTGAGTGTGGCCCTGCACTCCAGCATGAGCAACAAGTGAGACTCCAACTCAAAAGAAAAAGCAATATAGAAATAGGTTGTTGGAAGGGCCCTCCGGAGGAGAGTGATGAGTCTTTTAGGAATGCACCCCTGACTCAAAGCTCTTAAAGAACGAGCCTGTGTGGGCGAGGCAGGAGGTGAACGTATTTGTATGGATTTAGCAAGAAACGTTTCCAACACCCTATCAGAGACCCCACTGGGTGGAAACCAAGATGAAATGATGGAGGTGGAAGCAGCAGCTGACCGAGGGCCTTGGAAGAGCACACCTGCCTGGCATTCAAAGTCCTGAAAGGAGCAGACAGAACTCCAGCGGTGACATTCGCGCGGGTCCTCAGGGTGGCACGCGCCTGCTGCTGGCGACAGAGCTGGGGGTCTGAGCAGGGACCATGAAGACCCATTTCTTCTACTTGCCAAGTAGCCGCTGACTGTATGGGGGCAGTGGCCCGCCAGGTGGACCCGTCTCTTTTTCTATTTGGGAAAAGGACTGGATCCCAACAATGACCCTTGACCCAGCCGCCGGGGTGCAGGTTTTAGGGCTGGATGAGACCAGATTCCAGCCTCAGGCCGCTGTTTGCCTGCGGCCTGATCCTGGTGTGAAACGCGGTCCAGGGTGTGCAATTCGACCTGAGCGCGCCTGTCTCTCCGCATTCTGTCGTCACTGGAACACGTGTTCGCTTCCTCTAGTTCCAGGTCCCACGCTGGAAACCTTTGTGGGAGCTGACGTCAACACCATCCTAATCACAAACCTTCTCAGCGGGATGGACTACAACGTGAAGATATTTGCCTCCCAGGCCTCGGGCCTCAGCGACGCGCTGACGGGTGTGGTGAAGACCTGTAAGAGCTGTGGCCCCGGCTTGGGGGGCGGGTGTGGGGAGGGAGGGTGGGGGGGCTTGCTGCTTCATCTCCGCAGCCCCTCTGCTCTCCCTCCCTCTGCTTCCCGAGGGACGTGGCTTTGTGGAAAGAACTGTATGCGTTCTGCCAGGGAGTCCTGGCGGGCAGGCAGCTGTCAGCGCCTGGCTCTCACAGGCTTGCCCGTGGCAGATGGGATTTTCTCCTGGAAAGTCCCTGTTGGCATCTTTCAGATGAGGTGGAATTTTCCAGACAGCCTGCAGGCTGCCGTGGCCAGCATCAGGACTGGGCCAGAGGGAACCGGTCTGTCCTGAGACGGTGCCCCACTCCCGTAGACACACACATGCATGCACCCACACACATGTGCACACAGATGGACACACACGTGTGCACACATGAACATGCATGCGCACACACACACACACACGCTCATCCACCCCTCTGAGGACCTCCTCCCCAGTCTCCTAAGGCTTCCTGTAGCCTACACACTTGCTGGGACTTTTCACTGGCACCTCCCCTCCCGTGCCCCACGGAAGAGTGCAGCACTTTGCTGATTCTAGCATGTGGCTCCGTCTTCCCAAAGTTTGTCAGACCTCCGCGCCATCTGCTTGCTCGACTTCTTGAAGTCCACTTTGGACCTAGATACTTTCAAAGCCCATGTAACCGCCCTAAATAGAAGAGCAGTATTTTTAGTGCACATTAAAACGAGCACATGAACGACCCAAGTGAAAATGCTCTGGCTGGGTGCTGATTAAAATCGCGGAGTGCTCCCTGCCACTTGTGCTCGGTCTTGGGAGCCATGCTTAGGGCACCCGCAGAAGGGTAAGTCCAGACCTGCTGCTTGTTAGCTGAGCCTGGGGCAGATCGCAGAACATCCTGAGTGTGGGTGCTCTCCACTCGAAGATGGGGATAACAGCACCCGCCTTCAAGCTGATGGTACACGAAACACGCGTGCCACGGAGTGACCACTTTGTTACTGTAACAACTGTGCTCTGTGCACGTGGCCTGCCTTATCCTAATCCGTGGTCAACACTTCATCGAATGCAGGGGCAGGAGCGAACGGGATGTATACTAAGCCAGACCCCAAGGCACCCTGGATTTCCCACAGGGCAGCTCTCTTCCAGAGGAAGTTTCCTGAACTCTCTTTCATGGCACAGCTTGAGACTGCAAAGGCTGGATACCGAATAGACTTGTCTCGAAAGAAGTAGTCTCCCTCTTCTCAGGCCTGGGCTGCTCTGGGCACGAGCCAAGGCTCCCGCGTCCCCTCTGCTCTGCTCCTGTGGCGATGCCACGGCTCCCCCCGCAGCCCCTGAGGCCTGTGCGTGTCCCACCCTCTCTCCCCTCCCGTCTGTGCCTCAGCCGTCCGCCTCACCGGTTGCCCTCTCTGTGCCGGGCGCTCTGTCTCTGAGCTTCTGCTGGCCTTTCCTGCTCCCGCCTCTTCCTGTCATTCCTCTGCCTTCGGTTTCCTCTCTCTCCTCTCCGTCAGCAGAGTGAGACCCCGACTGAACTTCCCAGAAGTAGTCCAGAGGGCTCAGAGTGCTGAACCGTTTGATGTTCTTGGGCTTATTTATTCTCTCGCTTTCTCCCGAGCGAAAGAAGATCTCACACAATGACAGATAAACCTAGGAGGTTTGAAAAAACTCGTGATTTTCTTTCTGTGTGTGGGGGAGGAGACGGGCTTCTTAATTGGCTTTAGGAAAGAGTCTTCCCCCTCTGCTGCAAAAGAAAGGAACAACGGGAAGATCTAAATTGTGATTAGACAAGATACTGAAAAGTAATTACAAGGTATATTCACCCTGTGAGTTAGTGAGGAGAGAGGCAGAAGTAAGAGAAATGATAGAACGGAAGTCATAGGTCACTAGGGGAAGCAAGTATATTAATGTCTTGTTTTTCTGCTTGGGTCTGAATGACAAACACTGGTGTTATGCTGGAGAAGCAATACTTTTAGAGCTTCCCAAAATAACCATTTGTGCATATCACGATGTTCTAAGATTACTGGGCATCTCCATGTTTTTGAAAGGATTTGTTTGTGTTCTCTGCGTAAACTCTTTTGTTTTTAAACGTTCAAAACCGTATTCATTCTGGCTCATTCCCCTGTGGGGCCGGTCCTGTGGCTGCACTTGCCCGGACGACACTTCCACGGTGCCGCTTTGCTTTTCCTGCCCAAGCCCTGGTTCTCTCCCTGGCTGATAAGCACATGCTGCATTTACTTTTTGTTATACAAATATTAGATGTTCATTAGATGTGGAATATTTGCAAAGCACAAATACATAGAAGGGGGACTAAAATCAGCCATAATTTCGCCACCCGCTGCGCCTGGTCTTTTTTTGGTGACAGACCACATCATGCTTCTTGTTTACAACCTGCATTGCTGAGTCATAAAACGGCTATCTTTGTGCATTAGCTTATTCTAAGTGAGTGGACGTCCCACTCTGAGCACGGAGCTTTGAATGAAAATGTTCCCGTAAGTTAATTACCTCCGTGGGGGTGGTGTGACACATGACACGCGTGTTTCTGCTTCATTCCAGTGCTCCTGGGTGTCACGCATCTCCAAGCCCACCAGATTGAAATGGCCAGCTTGTGTGTGCAGTGGCAGGTGCAGCGTCACGCCACGGCCTACAGGATTGTCATCGAGTCCCTCCAGGGTGAGTATGTGCTATCACGTGTGTCTCCACGAGGAGACGCACATGCACTTGGTTCTGTGAGAATCACAGTCGGCAACACGCAAGTGACATGAGACAGGAGCCCTCTTCCAAGGGTCCGTTTGCACGGGGCCCATAGTGTAGCGCCTGGATCCAGGCTGGCTGGGCAAGCCTGTTGCCCCACCCCCGCTGACCTCTGCTTTTCTCCTCTGTTAATGGGGATAGCCATAGGCTGATCTTTTAGGTTCTGTGAAGATGAGCTGAGATCACCTGTGCGAGGCACTCCCAACAGTGCTTTGCACACTGGACGCGCCCAGGAAATACTAGCTGTTGTGGGTAAGAGCGGTCATGTAGCCACGGCGAGGACACGTTAAAATTGTGTGGCCCTGCAGTCTGGTATTCAGGCCCCAGGGAGCAGGCTTGAAGGCGATGTTTTTCTCCATGTTTCTTTTTCTTTTGGAGGAACACAGTGAACAGCAAATTCTCTTTATGGAGAAGGTTCAGTGTGTCTGCACCATCAGGAACAATTTCTTCTAGCTTGATAATTCTCAAGTCCACTTCCTATTTGGGACTCTGTTTCAGAGTTGGAAGTGCTCAAAATGTGTCCTGGTCTCCCTTAAAAATATCGAGGGCGGCAAAAGGGTACTTCCTGCAAAATGAGTATCTAGGGCCTGTCAATCCTGTTTTCACATGATCTGCGTGGACAGGATTGCGAAGATGAAATCCAGTAAAAATGATAGTTGGCTCATGGCTGTAATCCCAGCACTTTGAGAGACTGAAGTGGGAGAATCACTTAAGTTCCAAGAGTACCAGTCTAACCCGGGCGACATAGTGAGACCTTATCTCTACAAAAGCCAAAAAGGTTAGCCGGCGTGGTGGGGCTCACCTGTAGTCCAAGCTGCTCAGGAGGCTGAGGCAGTTGCTCGAGCCCAGGAGTTTGAGGCTGTAGCAAGCTCTCATCATGCCACTGCCCTTCAGCCTGGGCAGACGAGCAAGACCCCATCTCTAAGAAAAGAAGAAAATCATTTCAATCAGATTCGTATAGACAGTAAAAAAGGTGTCTTGTTATTTGTGGGGATTATAGTAGATACTAGAGATCTCAAATGTTCTTTTTTAATCTTCCAAACTTGCAATAAAATTGTTAAAACGTAGCTTGTTCTTTCTGGACCAATGATCTTGGTTCCCCCCATTTTGGGAAAGTACAAAAGCTAATTGTTTTAGGCCCAGATAAGACAGGGCTTAGTTTCCCGTATCCCTGGCTATAACTGACCCCAAACCTGTAGTCCCACTTCTGATCCAATCTACAGAGAAGAAAGCCCCATGTAGGAGGGTGCTGAGAGCCTTGGGAAACATGCCCCCTGTCGAATATGAGTTCATGGGTGGAACCTCCTGGAACCAACTCCCACCAACCCCGGCCAAGGGTCTGCTGTGGCAGACCTGCTGCACCTCTACTTCCTTGACCCCTGTGTACAATGTCTAGACCCCTCCCACCTGAATTGGCTAGACACGTCAGAGGAGTCGACACTGGGGAGAGAATCAGTCGTGTCGTCCTGTGGTTGTGTTAAATCGGAGTATGGGATGCTGAAGCAGCCGCAGGCGCAGCACACAGACTAGAGGACCGGCTGCGTCCTCTTGAGGAGTTATGTTTTTTAAATTATTTTATTTTATTTTTAAAATGTGGAGTGCAAATGAAGGCTAGGTACATGCATGGTCATCATATAGGTAAGGGGTGCGTACTCTCCTTGATGTTCTGTGCACCCCCCACCCCGGCAGTGTTCCATTATTGCCAGTCCCTTTCTTACAGTATTACGATAAGTGTTCAGGGTCCACTTGGGAGTGAGTACATGTGGTACTCAGATCTTTGTTTCTGTGATAAGTCACTGAGTATGATAGACACTAATTCCATCCAGGTTGCTGCAGAGTTCATAATTTTGCTTTTCTTTATGGCTATGTGATATTCCATCGTGTAAATGTACCACCTTTTCTTTATCCAGTCCATTTTCGATGGGCAGCACGGTTGGTTCCACGTTTTTGCTGTTGTGAATAAACTGCATGTGCAGGTATGTTATTAGAGAGCTATTTAAGCTTTTCTGGCTATATTCCCAGAGAGGGATTGCTGAATCCTATGGAAAGTTGATTTTCAGATTTTTTTGAAATCACCACGCTGTTTTCCACAGAGGTTGTACTAGTTTACACTTCCACCAACAGTGCAGAAGCGTTCCCTTTTCGCCGCATCCTCTCCAGCATCTGTTGTTTTTGAGATCTTGGTGATGGCCGTCCTGACAGGAGTGAGGTGGTCTCTCAGTGTGGTTTTAACTTGCATTTCTTCGATGACTGGTGAGGCTGAGCATTTTTTCGTGTGTCTGTTGCCTGCTCCTGTGTCTTCTTCTGAGAAGTGTCTATTCATTTCTTTGCCCATTTAAAAAAAATGTCTTCTTTTATGTACTTATGTTTATTTGAGAAAAACACATTTTGTAGACTGTAAGTACTTAGCCTTAAACAGAGCATTAATGAGCTGTAACGATCACTCAGAAGTAACTGGTCATTTCTGGTTGTGGAGGATAGGACACAGCACTGCAGTCTTCAATCCTTTTAGCTGACCAGAAGTGATGATTTCTCGTTTGCAGAAGGTTTCTTGCTTAAAGCTTCTCCTCTGTCCTCTTCCCTTGTGCTTGGTGTCATTCAGAAGAGATCTGACTCGAGTTCTGGAGACTGGGTGGCCTGCTCTGGGGCTCTGGTGAGACACTAAATGGGGAAGGGAGACTTGGCTGCCTGCTTGGTGAGCTGGAGCCTGGCTTATCCTTGGAGGCCTGACAAGAGCCAAGCACCCTAGGAGGCCCCGGGCAGCATGGCTCTCGGGGTCAGTACCCTTGCTGTGGACTTTCCTCTGGGGTGCCAGCACCACACACAACAAGATGGCTTGTGAGCTCACAGGACAGTCTGTCCTCTCTCTCTGGTGAGCCCATCTGTTTCCATGACTGCAAACATGACCTCCCACCTTGACCTCCAACACCACAGCCTGGTACGTCCAGTTGCGAATGTCGTGCAGATGCTGCTTTTGCCCATTTTTTAATAGGGTTGTCTGTTTTTTCCCTTTCAGCACATTTGAGTTCCTTGTAGTTCATGGATGTTCGGCCTTTGTCAGATTTACAGTTGGCACATATTTTTTCCCATTCTGTGGACTGTCTCCCTGCTCTCTTGATGGTTTCTTTTGCTTTGCAGAAGCTTTTCAATTTGATGAGGTCCCACTTGTCTATCTTACCTTTTATGGCATTCATCTTTGGACAGTTGATCAGGAATTGGTTGCCTATTCCAATGTCCGTAAGGTTGTTCCTTACATTTTCTTCCAGGATTCTTATAGTTTGAAGTTTTACATTTAGGTCTTTGATCCATTTAGAGTTGATTTTTTTTATATGGTGATAGATAAGGGTCCTGTTTCAGTCTTCTGCATGTGGTTGGTCAGTTTTCCCAGCACCATCGATTGAATAGGTTCTCCTCTCCCCAGTGGTTGTTGGTGGAGGCTTTGTCGAAGATGAGTTGGTTGAGAAATTGAGGTTTTGCTTCCAGGGTCTCTGTCCTGTTCCATTGGTCTATATGCCTATTCTTATACCAATACCAGACTGTGTTGATTATGGTAGGAGGAGTTATGTTTATATATCTCTACAAGTCACACCTTAACATAGGCAGGCTGACATCTAGTGATATTTAAAGAAATACTAAGTGTAATAATCACACTCCCAAATTCTCTCACGATACTTTCATCCTTTTCTGTCCTTTAAGAAGTTGAAGAGGCATGGGCTCCTGCGTCATTCACTGCCTTTCATAAACTAAAATTGTAACTACACAGATTGACTCAAAGTGCATGAAAACTGGCTTTGTCAATGGAATTAGTAAGATTCGTGAGTTTTTATTATTAAATGCTTTCATTTTAGTATATTTGCAGAGTGGCATTGAGGTTTCCATCAGGGAATGTGATTGGTTTGTCTGATAACAATGATCCAGTCATCTAAAACTGCAGTAAGCTCTTTCTGAAGTCAACATGTTTGCTGGAACAAACAAACAAACAAAAAGGAACATTTTAGAGAAATGTTTTCTTCTTATCTTCAAGTTAAGTTAACCTGTACACCCTTGGTATTATTTTCAGGTTGCCAGAGTCCTTTCCCGTTGAGCCTTTGTGGTCTCAGTTAAATAAGATGAACAAGAATATTGTTAGGTTTATTTCTCATCAGCATTTGGCGTTAAGAGATGAGCAAAATTCACCCTCATCTCCTTCGCCCAGCTGTCGTGCTTACATTGTTTACCAACTGGCCAAACCACAGATTCTGACGGACAGCTTCCAAAGGGCAACTCCCAAAGGGGAGTGCGTGTGTGGGTAGCAGGAGGGAATGTGTTCAGATATTTAAACATATAGAGTTTAGATCAAGGAATAGTCTTCCTCCTTTGGAATGGGGAAGGATTAGGTTGAGATTTGCTGTCGTGCAGAGAACTGTGGTCACCATCCTGACTGGTGGCCCTTGGAGGACTTGCAGTCAGATGCCTGCTCTTCCTAGGCAGCCGGGTGCCTGAGCCCCAAGTGTTGTGACTGGCCTCTCTTCCACTGATGACATATGCTGCCCCTGTGGAGACCTCAGTCCTTCCACCCAGTCAGGGGAGATACTAGAAGCAATGTGATCCAATTCCCCCATGTGCTGAAGAAAAGCTTTATCCCAAGTTGACCTATTTCTGAGTCCCTCTGGCAAATTTCTGCAGTTGGGTGGGTCATTTTTTCCAGCTTTTTCATGTCTTTTCCATGGGATGAACATGTGTACTTTATTCTGAGATGAAATCAGTGGACAAGTCTCCGGGGTAACCATAACTGCTGGTCAACTTTCTTCTCTAGGTTTCCATTTCTCTAAAAGTTACTTTGTTTGAAGCTGAAAATGAGGCAATACCTGAAAATGACCAAGGTTTTCTGAGTGAAGTGCCCAGGCTCTGTTGTTCGTGTTTGTTTAGTTATGTTCCAG